CTTGTGCGGTTTTTATTTTTTGCGCTATAAAAAAAAAGGTTGACAATTTTGAGGAAAAAAAACAATATTTTGGACTTTTTGCTATAAAACATGTCCAGTAAAAAAAAAAATGCAAAAAATCAAATTTAGTCATAAATTTCTGCCAAAATGCATTCTGCGACATGTCTTTGCTAAAAAAAATCCCAATACATGTAAATTAATTGGTTTACGTGAAAGTTATAGCGTTTACAAATGGCGGGAAAGATACTGGAATTTTTAATTTTTATTTATACTAATAATGGCACCGATCAGCGACTTTTGGTGGCAATCAGCGACATATGGCGGTGACCAGCGACTTATGGCAGGACTGCGGGACAGCGGTGGACATTTTGCCACTGGGGGGGAACTGACTTGGGGTCACTGACATCCCCAGTGACACCAATACAGTGATCAGTGAAAAAAACTCACTGAAACTGTACTAATGTCACTGGGGAGGAAGGGGTTAACATTTTTAGAATTTGCAGTGTAAGGGGAGTGTTTTACTAGGGGGCGGGGGTGTGTACTGGACGGGGGGAGGGAGGGGGGAGCTGATCGAGGGAGAGAAACTCTGCAGCTTCTCACAAGCTGTCAGAGAACTGACACAGAACAGGGCTGTGTGTAAACAATGCAGCCCTGCTCTATGTCAGCGATCACCGGCAATCGCGGGAAAACGGCCGGTAAAAACCGGCCGTGACCCGTCGGCTGACACCCGCTGCCGACACCCACGGGACAGGTAGGGCGGGCGCGGGGGCCTCGCGTGCGCCCCCTAACTGTTTTGAAGGCAGCCGTTTTAAAACGTGCTTTTGCCTACGAGTGCCGCCCTGCCACCGTTTATATGCGGTGGCTGGGCGGCAAGTGGTTAAGTAGCAAATATAACATAGACCAGGAACGTAGTCAAAACAGAAGCCAGGGTTTGGATGCCAGAGTGGATAATCAGACAAGCCAGAGTCAGGAAACCAGAAGTCAGCATAGTCAGCAGCCAGAAATCAGGAACAGGAATCGGAAGAGAAGTCAGCCAGGCCAAATTTTACACAGGAACACAGGCAGGAACACACTGAAGATCATAGGCCATGCAAGGGAAAGAAGGAAATTAGCTTCTAAAATAGAAAAAAGGGCTGGCATAATGAGGTAGGTAATAATATCCAGGTGAGTCACTGTGGAGACAACCCTAGCAACAGTAAACAGCAGAAAAAAGTTGCAAGGCATGTGAGGAATCCAGGAAATTGTGGAAAGAGATAGTCAGAAGACAGACAGAATTCACTACATGAAAGGAACCTTTTCAAGTAAGCGTATAACTATATAAAATAACTATGGTTTGTATTGTTATTATAATGCTGATATTATACAATAGAATTTGATGTTGTGACTATAGATCTCCATTAATTGGCAACTAGATTTGAACACTGTCTGTCCCAACAAAGGGTTAAAGGTTTCTTGCATTGTATGTTAATGAGAGGGGACTCAGCTTATCCTAAGCCTTTCTACTGGATCAGACTGACCTAGACATTGGTCAGAAATCATTGCTATGAGGCCTTCTCCTGAGAAACATTTAAAAGGTAACAATCATATGGTGGGGCTTTCTCAGATTTGACTGCAAAAGTGGAAATACACATTAGTTCCCTCTATATACCCCCAGGCTTCTGACTGGACATTGAAAAAGCAGCGGCAGACTGCTGAGTCCATTCCTCAGGTCTTCAGCTCTCTTCTCCTATCAGCATGTTACTTATCAACACATTTACATGGAGCACACCTAATTGGTTTCCCAATCATACCCTTCCCTCTCCCAGTATGAATGCTGCGATATAGTGGATTGCAAGTAGTAAATTTAGGTACAGTACTTATCCTAATTTTATACAAAAAATACAATAACCCCTTCCCACTGCATGTGCACATATACTGTACACTATATTGCCAAAAGTATTGGGTTTATTATAAAATATGACAATATGCCTTCACCGGCAATTCCAGATGTTCTACTTTGTTTACATGACACAATTTGTTAAACATATTTCAAAATATCTACTTCTAATAGCATATCTGGTTGTCCTTTGCATATAGGCATTAAAAATATGTCTATAGTTTTTAAGACAGATTCACACCATTCCGTTGCAATTAGAGTGCATTGACATTAAAATCACTTGAGTAGATATGCATTGCCATCTGTTTGTTTAAACGCATTGCCTCTATGTGCATTTATTTTTTAACACATTGCATTGATGTGCAGGTCTTTATGTTCACAGCAGGAGCCAAAATAAATTTTTTTTATTTCCTTCATGTACGTTCCAGTGGGCTGTGGTGCATTGTAATGCCTTGCACTGTATTTTAATACAGTGTGTTCTATTTTCACAAAGCACACAACATATTGGGGTTTATTTACTAAAGCTGGTTCACTCAGAATCTTGTGCACTTCTGCATAGAAACCAATGAGCTTCCAGGTTTTATTGCTAAAGCACGATCTGAACCATGAGATCCTCCAGGGACTCAGCTTTCAAGCCTCTGGTCCACTGCTGGAGTGTGTTGTGCAGATGACCTACCACATCCTTGTATGAGTCCCCAGGTCCCTTTTGCAAGGACCTAAATTGCTTCAGGTACAGTTCTGGAAGTAGCTGATACTTTCAGACGATTGCATCTTTTATAGCCTCATAATCATCGTTCTGATCCACTGGTAATCTAACATAAGCATGCAGAGCCTTGCCTCACACCTCTGGTGTCAGGTACTGAGCCCATTGTGCTTGGGGCACATGGTACCGACAGCAAGTTTTTTCAAATGACAGAAGATACACTGCAAGGTCATTGTCCTTTTCCATTATCAGAAATGTGGCTGCCTGGCTTGTAGCAATCATGCACACAGAGATGGATGCGATCATCCATTTTGCTCCAAACCCCTCCATATTGTATCTCTCTCTCCCAAATCCGATTCCTCCGACATCCCCCCTCCCTCTCTGTTGAGTAACATCTGGTTTGTTTGTTGCAGAGATCACAGGCAGCAAACTCTTTGGGAGGGCGTCATGGCTATAAAACCCCCAGCCGAGCTGGTGCCTAGATGCCTGTTAGCTCGCAATCTGGGATATCGTAAGACCATAAACCAAGCCCTCACGGAGCTTCAAAAGACATGCCAGGAAGTCGTAAAACAGACTTACATTTTAAAACCCAGTTTTCCATATAATTTTATATCTCCAAATAGGAAATAATTACACAAACATGGAGCACATATTCGGATGGCTCACTTTAAGACAAGTCGCCTGGTATATTACACCCCCTAGCTGGCATATACAGGAGAGCAGAAAATTCTATCTCTTTAACCATCCAAGCAGGTATCTCATATTTCATATGTAGACATTCCGCAGAAGATTCTGGGTATTAATCTACTCGTGGATAGAATGTTATATGTACCTAGGAAAAGTTATCTTCCATAGTATAATTTGTGAAGGCTTTGGTCATAGCCTGAGCCCCCTGCCTACACAACCCCCTCCCCAAATGAAGCGATTGGTTCACTGCTTCAGGGAGACACCCTGTTGAGTTCCTAGATAAAGGTGGTGGTGCTTGAAGTAAAGGTAAGCTGAGTTGAAGTTGAAGAATTCTCCCTTTTTAACATCAGAACCTACTTGGGAGATGGCCCTTCTGCTCTGAAACCTGATCTGCTTAACCCAGGCTGACAGCAAGTACTTTATCTATCTAAATTCCTTTCTGTTATCTCTTTGCTGTGCTATTGTGTATATTTAGATATATTTAGATATATATATTGGCTACATCTTTTTTCTGCAAATATTTTTATTGCACCCTTTTGACCTTTTAGTAATAAATCTTACTTTCTGAAAGTGTTGAACTGTTTCTAAAGCTCTTTAATGCAAACTAAGAATCCCTGCCTCTGAAAAGTGCTACTGTGTGTGTGTTTTAAACTTCGGTATATCTCTGCCTGCAGTGACAGTGGTATACAGACAATTATTCAAACATCATATTATTCATGTTATTGCTGATATTGCCGAGTTTCCTCTTTTTTCTGTACAAAAAGGAGGTGGTAGCAGTCTGAAGGGTTAATTGCGTAATTAACAAGTGCTCCCAGGCTGCTGGCACATAGGTTGTGGTCCATTAGCTGGAAAATTTTTGTGCAGGGTGCAGCTGGGCGTGGCATTGTTACGCACGTGACAGTGCAGTTTTAGATTGGCTAGTCCTTTGGTCACGAGTTTGGTGAGAAGGGCTGGGGTCTGACGCCGCGATCGTCACATGGCTCACAGGCAGAGAGGCATCCCTGTGCTTTAGGGATCCGAAGTTTGGAGCCTGACGCTGCTGCTGGAGCCAAGTCATCTTCAGCTTGTGCCGGAAATCAGCCTCCCTTTGCGCCCACCTCTCTCTCAACCGCAGCCTGGCGTTCCTCTCTCTCAGCTACAGCCTGGCAGTCAAGAAACTGAAGGTATGCCAGACGATCCATCTCCCTGTGTTGTAGTGCTCCCTGCAGTTGAGGAGATCCTGTGCTGGTTACAGGCACCCTGATTCTTGCCTGATTTGTCTCTTCAGAATTCCCCATAAGTGTTCAATTGGGTTCAGATCGGGATACATACTTGAACACTGAATCACTTTGACTCTGTTCTTCTTCAGATATGCAACAGTGACCTTAGATGTGTGTTTTGAATCATTGCCATGTTGGAAAAGTGCATAACGACCAAGAGCAAGGAGTGATGGTAGTACCTTCTCTTTCAATATAGAGCAGTACATCTGTGAATTCATGTTACCATAAATGAAATGCAGCACTCATGCAGCCTCACAGAAGGACACTGCCACCACCATGTTTCACTGTAGGCACCATGCATTTTTCTTTGTACTCCTCACCTTTGCGATACCATTTTTAGTTTTGAAGCCATCAGTTCCAAAAGCATTGTACTCTGGAGTGAAGAGACCAAGATAAAAGTCTTCTTTTTTTTAGCATGGCAAACTCTAGGCGGGTTTTTTTTTTTAGTGTATATGGGCTTTAGGAGAGGTTTCCTTTGTGGACAACACTCATGCATGCCTTTCCTCGGCAGTGTATGTTGTATTGTGTCACGGGAAGCAATTATCCAGTTTGGCTTTCTACTTCTTTAGCTAACTGCAGTGTACCTGGCAATTTTCTTCAACCCTTCTCATCAGAAGACGCTCCTGTCGAGTGTTAACCATTTCTGTGAGATAGCTGCAGTTCCATCTTTGTTAAATTTGTGTATCGCTTTAGCTACAGTACTCTGATAAGTAAAGCTTTGCTGATCTTCTTGTAGCCTTCACCTTTCTAGTGTAAAGAATTTATTTTCTTTCTCAGGTCTTGTGACATTTCTCTTCCATGTGGTGCCATTGCTGACAGCATGAAATTGGAAGGGGTTTTATTTGTTTACTAACACCATTTTATAATCCACTGTCTGCATGACACCTGTTTAATGAATAATTAGACTCACCTGTAGTTAAATTCTTGTTAATTAGTAGTTTGTTGTCTAAAATTTAGCTTTGCTCCTAAGACTTGCATTGGGGTGTATTCATTTTTGCAACATGGTCTTGAATTAATTTGTTAGGAAACATACTTTTTTGTGTGTGCAAATTAACAAACATTTGTGGGAATATTTTGTAGCACAGTGTCCCATAGAAAATGTTGATTCTGAAAGGAAAGATTTTCTGACAAATCTGTTGGGGTGTACTCATTTAGGCTGAGCACTGTATACACAGACACACAGTATATACATTTCACATATAAAAAGGATTACCAGAGCACTGTGATTTTGCTTGGGAGGAAGAACAGGTCAGGTTCTCTGTCTCTGATTAAAACTTTGGAATGAGACATTCAAAAGGAAATTATTCACTTCTCTCTGCCAGAGAGAAGTGAATCACTTCTTGTTCTCTCTTCTGCTGGTGTTTACTGTGCTTCCCTGAGCAGACATTTGTAGTTACAGTGTCCACCAACAGGTTTCTCCCGGCAGTCAGCAGATTCTGGCATTCAGTCTCCACTTGATGCTAGCTGCTGGAAGGGTACTTAGTCCCACCTTTACTATTGCACCTCTATTCAGTGTTTTGCTTTGCTAGCCAGATACTGTGTGCCATTTATCCTGCTCTTGATCTTGATGCTGCCCTGCATTCTGTACCCTGCTGCCTTATTGCTGCTCCCCTTGTACGTGATCCCAGTCTTGGTTTCCCTGTTCCTATCAGTTCCCTGCATCTCCAGTTTACTCTGTCTATCCGTGTTTCCCTTTTTTGTACATATTGTATATACAGTAGTTAGTTTATAGTTAGGGTTTGTGTTACTTAGGTTGCTAGTTAAGCATTTTGGTTATATGGTTGGGGTTCACTTATATATTTTATGTTTCCTGTTTGCTGGCATTTGAATGTCTTTTGTTTTTACTATTAATAAATTTACTTTACTATATATAGTCTAGTCTCAGTTTCTTAGTGTAGCTATGCAGATCTGACCATTCTTGCTGCTGATTCTGGTCACTCTCACTCATTCACTTGTGTATTTATATTTCTCCTTGCGCTATTAAGCCCTGTAAAAATCAAGCTTTTTGTAACAAATGAGATAAAAGAAAACATATGAAAAGGAGGTTTCAGCTCCTTCCACCTGCTTTCCGGAATATATATATATATATATATATATATATATATATATACACACACACACACACACACAATATTTAAAATCTGCATAATTAAACATAAGAAAAATCATTTTTAGATTTTTCAGTTCTTTTACCCTGACAATATCAAATGAAGAATATATGTAAAAAATGTTATGTACACCCTTTAAAAACAAATGCACATGAACTTCTTAGGAGTATTTTTTATGTACGTGCATTCTAGTTCTGAGGAATAAAGTTGGAATTATGAATTGTGAATTGTCCTACCAGTTGATAAATTTCACTTACATAGTGTTTATTTCTACATTTCCTATTAGGAAAGCAAGTGTTGGTTTGTTGTCAAATTAGACTTTTTTTTTATAATAGACTAATGCCAGGTTTTATGTTATGGGAGCTTAGACAGCAGCTTGAGGATAATTGGAATTATGTGCTGGTTTTAATTAGACTGTGCTTTTTTATAATGAAGCTTTTATAGAATGCAGCTGCAAATAAATTAATTGATTGATTGATTAATTGCTTTGCTGCACTGCGTAAGTTTATTTGGGAAAGAAACCAAGGAACTGATTTAATAACAAGACTTCATTAACCCTAAGGGCTTACAATATATATTATACTATTCCAAAGAGAATATAAAAATATAAATATACTTAAAGGGAAAGTATAGCTTATTTTCATTGAGCAAATAGTCACATACAAAAAAACATGCAGCGCTAGAGTATAAAGATCTGTCTCACGATAAAGTGTGACCACCTAAATAGGTATAAACGCAGCAGCATAAAGGTAATGGTCTAAGCAACCAATACTACAACATTCTTATGGTTGAAAAGGTGTATATGGTGATATAGGTGTCAAAGTCAATATATCATTGGAGTGACATAAAGAAATCTGTGACATCTGTGGTAGGAAGTGTGGCTGTAGAATGCACTAACCAGATAGCGCAGATAGTAGCGCATTGGAGTAAAATGACCTACTCCTGGTCAATGGATCAGGGAACCTGCCGGAGTGGTGGTCGTCTCTGCTGTGGTCACCAGAATCATCTGCGTCCTCTCCAATTATGGAATTACCAGGTGTCCAGTGGGATAAACGCTCACCCGGTATGTAGTGGAATCCTTATATGTCAGCGACCTCCAGGGGTGCGGTGTGCGCTCAAGGAACAGGAATCACCGTCAGGGCTCAAGAATAAACCCAAAAGAGAGGCTTCCGATAGTGTAATAACTTTTATTAAGGAGTAATAAACAAATAAAGCACTTACATGGTGCAATACATAATTCCAAAGATGGCCGCCCATATCAAGGTGTGGACCATGTGGGTAGTAGTGGTAGGTAAAGTAGCATCTCTCTAACACGTTTTGTGGCTATTGCACAACGTGCAAAAGGAACATCTCTTCTGAGACAACTCAAAATGTCTCGCCACTATTTGTATTTTTACAAGAAACCTAATTTAAAACCGCTAAAATTCCCTGTTTGACTGATAAATTCTTTACCTCAGCCTACCACGAAACTAGCCCACTTTCAAAATCCAAAGGCGTGTTTATCTTAGTGAGCAATGAGACCCATTTTACCCTGCAACAGCAATTAGCTAATCCTGAAGGACGTTACCTATTTTTAAAAGCCACTTGCGCTGGTCAACCCTTAACTCTGGCAAATGTGTATTTTCCAAATATGGCCCATATTACCTTTTGCAATAAAATAGTTCAGGAACTGAAAGGTTTTGCTTCAGGCTGCCTGGTATTAGGGGGCTACTTTAATATCTCGCTGAATCCATTGTTGTACACATGCAATGGGAAATCGTATGTCACATACAAAATTCTTAAAATGATTAAATCCCTTTTGCAATAACTACTTCTAGTCCACACTTGGAGAACAATGTTCCCTGAGGGCAAATATTATACTTTACACTCAATACCAAATAATAAATATTCTAGAATTGACTATCTATTTGTTTCCCAGAGAGACCTAACTTTCTCAACAAGCTGCTATTGGCATTCAGTCAATATCTGACCATGCACCTGCGATGATAATAGATATAGCTCCATCCAAATCCAAACACTTCATCTGGAGACTCAATGCCTCCTTAATAACAGATAACACTTCCAGTCACTATATAGCCGACCAAATGAAAACATTTTTCGAACTCAACTCAATGAGTGAAACAACACTATTAGTCACGTGGGAAGCACATAAATGTGTGATAAGAGGAGAACTTATAAAACTGGGCTCTAAACAGAAAAAGGAATACAAGACAATACTTATGACACTTTCTCAAAAAATATTGTCCCTAGAACGGCTGAGTGAACCGTCTAAGGCCTGTAGGGTTAGCTGTGAACTCTTGGAAGCCCGTAACGCCTTACAACATTTACTAGACCTTAAAGCAAAAAGGATACTTTTTTTCCAAAAAGAAAATCTACTATGAGCAGGGGGAAAAAAGTGGCAGATTTTTAGCCAGAGCCTTGAAAGAGGCTTCCACAGCTAACAATATCTTTCAAATCAAAAATAAAGAGGGTAAACTAGAATTTGAATCAGAGAAAATTGCTTCTCAATTACACACTTATTATTCCAATTTATATAATCTACCCACTCAGCACAAACCTCCAGGAACCCCAGAGGATAGAATGCAACCCATAGGGAAATATTTAGAGAAATGTGGGTTACCCTCCTTACAGGAGATAGATATTGCCGACCTCGAGAGACCAATAGAAGAAGAGCTTTTGCTGGCCATTAGAGCTTTTAAACCTGGGAAAAGCCCAGGCCCAGATGGGTTCACGGCTATTTATTAAAAAACTTATGCTGAAATTCTTAAAGAGTCTTTCTTGTCTGTTTTGAATTCACTAGCGCAAACCCCGACCATACCTACTTCATTCCTCACTGCACATATTACTGTTCTCCCTAAACCGTGAATGGATACTTCAGACTGTGCGAACTATAGACCCATTTCTTTGCTAAATTTAGATCTAAAACTCTTGGCAAAGATACTTGCTAACAAACTTAGACCTCTTCTTGCTTACATCATGGGACCTGAGCAGCCCGGCAGAGAGACCAGGGACAATATGGTTAAAGCACTAAATTGAATCCACTTGGCTAAACACCACAGAATAGAGGGACTTCTCCTATCCACGGATGTGAAGAAAGCATTTGATAGGGTGGCATGGGATTTTATGTGGGCGACGTGAACATATTGGTTCACAGTCTAATATACTTTCGTGGATTAAAAAACTTTATGCGGGTCCTAATGCAAAAATTAAAGTTAATAATATGCTCTGATACAATTTAAAACATGGAATACTAGATTTTTCTCCTGGTTTGGCAGAATGGATATTTTTAAAATCTCCATCCCTCCTAGGGTTCTGTATATAATGCATGCTCTACCAATAAAGATCCCACATAACTTCTTCAAACATCTCCAATCACTTCAAATTCAGTTCTTATGAGCTCACAAAAAATCTAGAATAGGCTTCCACTTGATTACAATGCTTAAAGCAAAAGGGGGCATGAGACAGCCAGACTTCAAGATGTTTCATTATGCCACACATCTTACAAGAGTGTTAGATTGGCACTGTCACTCTGGACAGAAGGATTGGATAGATTTGGAGGCGGGCTCTGTCCCATTTCCCCTAAAATTTTTTCCATGGATACCGAGGTCTGGAATACCTACATCAATAAAAAAACACCCTTTAATAGGTGCCACCTTTGAAATTCAGCACATAATATCCAAAACAGACTCCACCTTCTTCGCTCCCGGTCC